ATGTAACAATCGAACTATCCTAAACTTATCGAAACGAGGACAGCATATTTTGGCCAAAAAGCCTTGACACTACTAAGTGTATATTCGAGTGAGCGTTGAGAACAATAAACAGCGTGCTAGAGTGTGCTAGGCAATTTGGCTTGGGTGATATTACAAGTCGAATATTGTGAGGTGAAGGGGGGATACATAAGGGCTGAGGAGGTGCAGGAGTTGTAGTCGCTAGTATTCTGGCGATCTACATACACTATAAGCTAGTCATGATGTCGTGAATGGTGGCTCTAACCTCGTAGAATGGTGCTTGTGTGCTTTCACATGTCGATAAGACAAGCAGAAGCGTTGTGGAGGGGACATAATGCCGTGGGGGGTTATAAACGATGTAGGGGTTGCAATCGATAGGGATGTCGTTACACCATTCATGCAGGTCGGAACTTACAGCTTTAGCGATTTACATGCACTATGAGCTAGACGCGCTTAGTGACTGAATGAAACCTCTACTTTCTGATGTAGATTCACCACGGCTCTTACCCAAATTGCTAGCGTTTACACGAATAACTTGTCGTTGAGCTCCACACACAGCTGTACGTTTTACTTTTAACTTTCACACAAAGTCACATTGCACACACATAACGCATACTACAGTACAGTAGTACAAAGGAATATCAAAGGGCTACATCAAATTGCTAGCTCAACTGCTGGCATGATTCAGGACTCTCGAATGAGTACAATAGCTGAACCTTGCCTTGGGGGCCAAGTGCGGCGCCACCAAAATGCCCAAGGCCTTCGTTAGCGAGTCCGTGGCGACAAGGAGGGGGGGCAGACGTGGGGAGGGCTGACAATACGTCAAGACTTGCGTCTTGTGTATTGCCTTACTAGCAGAAATGGATTTGCCCGTCGTTGATGCGAGCAACAACGACGGGCAAATCCTCTACTATACTGTATCAGCTCTTCCCCTTATCATTCTATTAGTTGTGAATAAGGCATCTGCAAAGCAAGGCTAGTTACTTTAGTACTTCGAAGTACTGTACATCAGTCAGGCAATACGAGGCCACGTGCTCCTGTTCAACCCTACCCGGTATCATCTTCCAGAAATACTGCGTGTTCATTGAATTAATATTACTAGTACTTGAAGTACTTCAAGTATAATTTATGGCCAACCACACATTTCAATGTCGTCATTCTTCAATTTGCCACCTCATACACACTGCTCAGTGGGTCCGTGGGTATGTAAATAATCGATCCCCTTGCGGATTCAGCCATCCGTTAGTACCGCTAGCAAGGTTCATTCTATATCTAGGCACTACATAAATCACGACTATAGAAGATGTCTTACAGAAGCAGCACGAAGCACGTGGAACTTTGGCGGCTTGTGGCGTAGGCTGGTTGCTGTGGGAGTCTGGTAGCATGCAGTACGGTTCACACGACTGCTCCAGGCCATGAGGCCTGAAGCAATCGTTCGAGGTTTAGTCCCATGTATACGTATAGCTACTCGCAGTAATAATATACACTACATCGTGATTCGCGTCCGCTTCATGCCATCAATCGGTGGTTGGTCATAGGGCCGTCGATAAGTTTAAGGTATTTCGTGATTTCCTTCATATGCGAGTTTACTGTTAATTAACCAATCACATTGCTAATAGTCACACATATCCAGAAATTCTCATAACGCACTGTCTGCCGAAGTGGATCTCGCTGTGTAACATACTCTATATTCAATTCAGCAAATCTTATGTGTCCTTCAGCAGAAAATATGTGCGATTCAGCAATTCTTATGTGGCTCTCAGCAATTCCTATGTGGTCCTCAGCAATTCTTATGTGGCAATATTTTATCCTCCCTCGCTCTCTGACACCCGTACCTCACGCACCTCATTCTTCATCAGCCTCGATCAACTACCACCGCCTACCGTTCCCCTCATTCTGGCTGGAGACTTGAACTGCGTATTCTCACCACATCTTGACCGCAACCAGACGCTTCCCCCGCGGCGCCCACACCCCGAGTGCGTCGCCATGGAACTGTGGCTGAAGCATCTGCACCTCCACGACTGCCTGTTGCAAAACATGTCCCACCCCCACCGCCGACTCGACCACCCGTGCCCTCCGCCAGCGTACGCACACCTGTATCCGTCCGCAAGCCAACTCAAGCTCCCGTTTCGATCGGATCTACATTTCGACACCGCTCCGATGTATTCTCCGCCAACATACCTCCCCCTGGGCCAACGCAGTGACCACAACGCCATCTCTGCCCTCAATCCCCTCCGACAAATCCTGCCGCCAAAGGACCGCAGTCAGATATTTCCCATACGTTCGGCCTATCTATCCACCTCGAACAGACAATCCTGCGCTACATCACGGAAGCGGCCCGCGACTTCCCCCCATTCTCAGCCATAGCACCCACTGGGACACCTTCACCGAGGTCCTACATTCAGTGCTTCCTCCTGGATCTCCGTACCGCCGAATCTCCCCCAGCGCCGGCCCAACTCCCGATACATACCCAGGCCCAGAGGCTCCATACGATCGATGCTTACGCCCACCAAATCGCCGAAATCAACTGCTACAAGCATGGCCGCTCCATGCTGGAAGGTACCCCCATCAGCAGCTTTCGTCCGCCGGTTCACCAACCGTTGAACAATACCGTCATCCCTTTCATCCTCCCCCGGAAACCCCCAGACTCCTAGGCGAACAACATGGCCAATGGATGGCGAAGCACGCTTACTAGCCGGCACCCTCGCCGACCTATGGGTAGCAGCACGTCCGCTCGGCCCATTCTGCCTTCTTCACGGCTGTCACCGACCGCCTCACGCCCGGCATACGTTCCCCGCGCATACCTCCAGCGATTCAAACGCAATAATGCTGGGCCCTGCCTGACCTTGCGCGCATTGCCAAGCAACAAGCCATTCGCCGAGTCGTCAGACCACTCAGCAGTTTCGACACGTGGTTTTACTTGATTGCCCTCAGCAGCATCCAGCAGCCCCAGGGGTCGCCTTGCGTCGTACACCCAACCGCCCGACACCTCTCACCCCGCCACGTGCCGACACCATTCAATTAGGCAATGCGCTCGCCAGTCGTACTCTCACGCTTGCCTGGCTTCACTCGCGGCATCTCTGGACTTCCTACAAGGCGACTACACCCTCTCTCCAGTCATAGGCTCTTCACCTACGCACGACTATGACGACGTCGACAACACCAGCGTGGTGTCGGATCCTCTGGCACCCCTCCTGTAAAACAATGCTTGGATCCGCGACGGCCCTCTGCGCCACCACCTTTCGACTTTTTCGCGGACGCCCTCCACGTCCCTGCCAACCCCCCTCAAGTCCATCAGGAGGCCCACCTTCAAACTATCTACCGCTTTTCACTTAGTCCCGTCCCCTCCACCGAAGATATCACTCCACCGACTTTCGTCGGTCTCCTGAGCTCCGCTGTCCTCCTTACGCTATGCCCCGCGCATATCCGACAAGTTCAGTCTCGGGCAGGAGCATGCAGCCACGGAAGCCGTGGTATGGGCACGTGAATGGTTGTCCCAGACACTGCTTGGCAACCTCCAATGGTTTATGTACCATTGGTATCACCAAGCGTTCCCCTTTCGAGTCTCCAAAATACCCCTGTTCTGCATGGTGCTGCAGAAAAACCTATGAGCCTTTTTAGAGGTCGGCTCATGGTCTCATGATCGGTAAGGCCGTTAGTCTCCATTATGTGCAGCAGGCCGCCATTCGTCGTGCGGTTGTGCGCCATTGTCGTGTGGTTGAAAGATGTGCTTTGTTGGCGCATTTTCGTTGGACGAAATTATTAGACTTAAAATATACCAGAAAAGTAATTCGTAGTAAGAGACCTCAGTTTGCAATTTAATTCGGCTCCGCAAGAGGTTCCTGTCGGGATAACGACGGGGGCGAAAACAAAGAATTCTTTACAGTTCGCCTATCGAACTATGTTGACATGCAACTTTTTTTTACCCAATCATATTTTTTTGTGATTTGAATGCATGTGATTGGGTAGCGATAATATTTTCCCACCGCCGCGATTCCTTTAAAAATTCTCGCCACAATCATTGACAAATGCATGACAGTGAACTCAACCCTTCACGGCCCAAAGCGCGCCTACCCAGTGGCCATCAGGCTTGAGGCCATTGCACTGCTGGAGACTATATCGGACTACAAGGTGTCGCCTCAACTCGGAATTCCTCGACGAACCATACGCTCATGGGACGACCAGCGAGACGATATCCGGGAACAAAAAACGAATGAAACTCAGTCCTGGTGGCCGCTCCGAGTCCTTTCCTGACCCAACAGGACTATAGCCAAGATGCATGCTCGTGAACGTGCATTGACCACAACTCATATTATCAACTGGATCAAACGCTTCCAACCTAACTGGCTGCGTCTGTACCTCGCCGATAAGGAGTCTGGCATGGTATACCAAAGCCTCCTTCCTCTGCTCCAACTCTTCTGCAATCGTCATGGGTACTCTCGGCAACCCGCTAGCCACACCAAGAAGTTCCGTTATGCACTCGCCGAGGTCCGCGGCGAGTTTGCGGAGGAGTTTCACCGCGCCTACAGCGCCTTCGATGGCGACGCGGTCTATAACGTGATGAGACGGGTTTTCACTACATGCCACTGAGGTATATTTGGTCAATCCGGGGTGGCGATACCAAAGCGTCGTCGGGTGAGAAGCATTCTGTTCGCATGACTGTGGTGCTTACCGTTCGTCCCGATGGGACCAAGATGCCTCTGTTCTTCGTCGTTCGGGGCAAACCCGGCGGTCGGATCGCAACCAACGCATCCCGCTGGCCATGTCTACTCAGTACAAACCGTGGATGGACAATGACGTGTGGCGACAGTACCTTCGTGACTTGCTACTTCCCTGCATCGAAGCGCCGTCGGTCATCTTGGCGGACAACTTTGAGTCGCATGTATCCAACGAGTCCTATGACATTGTTCAAGACGAGCTGAACAGTCTCCTCGTACCAATGCCTACGAATGCAACATCTGTGCGCCGTTCAAGTGGCTCCTACGGGACGAGTAGTTGGCTGAGGAGATCATCGACGGCGACGATGGGGATGAGTTTGACTCACCCTGTGCTGCGCAGAAATGTCTCTCAATGATCAAACGGGCGATTTCGGCGTGGGAGAAGGTCAGCGAACGTCATGCGCCAGAGGTTTGCTAATGCGACCCCTCGCACTTGAGCACACTGTCGTAGCCACTCCTTGCTTTATATTAATTGTGGAATTAATATATAACTGGTTGGTTTGTATTTGAATTTGTATGTAGTTCTTCTAATTTTAAATATACGGGAAAAAGTTTGACACTGACCGGGGCTTGAACCCCGACCCCCTTCCTCAATCGACTTGGATGCCGTCACACTAACCATTGCGCCACCGCGTCAAACGCTATCTTTAACGTAGGTTCTAGGTGTTGCCTGAATTAAATTGCATCGCTTTGCAAGAATTGATGTCCTGAGTAACCGAATGCCGATTTGGAACACAAGTATTCGGTATGGGCTCCCATTTTTCATAACCTGTCGAAATTTGAATAAAACATTCAATAAAAATGGTCTTCATTGGCTAAAACGATTTTCGTAGTTCGAAGTATGGCGGCCAATCATTTACCGTTATTGTCAGATTCCTCGAAGAAAACAGTAGGCGAACCACTCTTCGTTGACTGTAGCCTCATCGCCCGAAGCAATGAGTGACTCTGATCACCAACGCTCGCAGTCCCCTGTTAACGGGACGGAGCGATCCCTATCCCGAGAAGCCGAACGCGGACGACCCGTTCGCCATCAAGCCACTACCCCGTTCACCTCACCACGCCGGCGTAAACCACCAGCTGTTGGCCAGCAGTTTCAACCAGATGGCTACGCCAACACCCCATTTACGGCGCCCACACCGACCCCCATGGCCGCCTCATATGATTCTCTGGCGCCAGCTGCGACACCAAATGGCGCCACCAACCTGCCCTCTGTCCCCGATGACGATGACATGGGAGAAGGCGACGAGCGCAGCTTCGTGTACAACGCGCCTGTGATCCCTGACCCGCCCTCGTTCAACGGCTCGACCAAGTCGGAGCGGCGGACATTCATCCCCCAGTAGAAGTACCTTGACCAAGTCAACGCCCTTCAGCTCAATGGCTCAAGACCCTTCGTCATGCCTGTCAGCGCGTATATGGACGTCTTTACCAAGAAGCGTGTGGCGATGTGGGACATGGCCAACCGCGACTACCGTGGCGTCACGGAGGCAGAGTGGGCCTCGCGGTTTAGCAAGGTGTTTGAAGAGGAGTCTCAAGACCTGGACGTGCTCAAAAAGTGTTAGCCCACTGCGATCCGGTTCGACACGACAATCCTGGACGCCGACTCGCGCATTGGCAAGATGCTTGACAACCTGATGCGATCATTAGAGCGCGACGACCAAGCGTGGGTCTTGGACAAAGATGGCAAGACAGTTGTCGACATCATGGTCAAGGCGATCAAGCCGCTTGGCCTGCAGAAGTCGGTCCAACGCCATCATGCCCTCAAACGCAACAAGCCGTTGAAGTCTAACGTGTACCGTTTCGTTGACTGGCTGCGCGTGCATACCACCGGGTACCACTTGTATGCCCCGGTGAAAGACGAGCAGACTTCGGCGCCGCCTGCGACGGCAGCCGCAGCACGATCGCGGCCGTCCAAGCCTGAACGATCTGAAGGCAGCGTTGGCAGCAGCAGTAGACCTCCTTGGCCCGCCCCAGCCCCCTAGCAATACAGCGCGAAGTACGAGCGCAAAAAGGCGACCTGTCTCAAGTGTGGCAGCGCGAACCACAAGGTCGTGAACTGCCCCAAGTGCGCGCCTGGTGAATCCGAGCGTCTGCTCAAGGAGCAAATGGACAAGTGGAAGAGCGCGCGCAACAAGAAGGTGGCCAAGCTTCAAGGCATCACGAACAAGTCCCTTCGGCTGCGAAGCCAAGATCGAATGCAGTGTGTCCGCCACGTCGACCCTCCTCGACAACCGGCTCCGACGTTACCTTGGTAACAGCCGGTGTCATAAAGTCCCTGGAGTGATCTGGCGTGGAAGTTAAGGTGATTTCGCCGAAGCCATCCGTGATCCAGCCGTATGGCCAAGCACCTGCCCTCAAGGTCGACCACCAAGTGCAGTTCACGTTGATCACCCTGGACACCCACTGTGGCCCTTTGGCCTTGCGTGGACTCAAGGCCTGGGTTGACTCTTCCTCCAACGCGGCAGAGCTCCTGATCAGCCAGGCTGTGATGTAACGGCTGGGCTTCTCTGAAAACAAGTTGATCAGCCACGCCTTTACCAAGCAAGAAGTCTGGGATGTCAGCGACATGGACAAGTCGTCTGCGATTGCAAGTGTCAGCCGCCTGACTCAAGCGACGAGTGCGGTGATGACGGCATGCAATATGCCACCCCGAATATCCAAGTCCCATCTGCCGAAGACGCAGACGGCGACCGGAACAGGCGGCGAGCGGTGGTTGAAACCATGATTCAAGACAAGCTCCGTGCCGCCGAAGACGAAGGCTTGACCGCGGACCTCCTCGAAATGCTGCGACTCCTCCTGGCCAAGCACCGTGATATATTCCACCTGGGGATCGGCCATGACGAGCCGATCAAGGCGGAGCCGCTGCGGGTGCGCATCAAGCCTGGCGTCATCCCTGTCAAGTGTGTTCTGCGACGATATCCCCCAGCCCATGTGGAGTTCCTGAAGACACATGTGCGCGAGCTCGAAGCAGCCGGTCTGGTGTATCACACCAACCGCGCAACATGGGCCGTGGCGCCGCGCATCGTCCCCAAGAAAGGCCCTGGCGACTTGCGCATGACCATCGACAGCCGGCCCATCAACGCGTGCACGAGCCTAATCCATGACCTATGCCGTACCTCGACGCCGCTCTGACTGTCTTAGTGGGCGCGCGGGCGTTTTTCACCCTCGACTAGTTCAAGGGCTACTGGCAGCTGGCGCTCCATGACGACTCCCAGGTGTTCTACTCCTTCATGACCCCCTTCGGAGTGTAGGCGCCAACAAGAGTGCTTATGGCCCAAACGGACGCGTTTGCGTTCTGTCAGTCGGTACGTTACAACTGGCGAAGCGGTTCCACAACATGTGGTTCTTGTACTTGTATCGGCCCTCGCGGAGGAATGCAAGAAACAAATGATAATCAAACTCACTCAATTAACCAAGACTACAGTGTTTGCCAGAAAAACTCGACGAAAGTAGCACTGCCTTCAATATGGGACTTTGTATGTAGAGTGGTACAACTCGTCGACGCGGACGACTCAAAATATAAAGATCATGTCACGACGAATCTGAGGTCGACTTATTTGATTGGCCTAAATTAAGCCAATTAAACCAATACAAAAGTTCAAGGGTAAGCGTAAGCGTTCGACGCGATGGCGCAGTGGTAAAACACGTTGTGTGACTTCAGTGAGCCCCGGGTTCAATTCCCGGGCGCGTCGAACTTTTTCTTCAAAAGTCAAATTACTAGAAACATTAAATCTAAAGTTCAATTACGGATGGAATGGCTTTCTCAAACGAACTAACAATAATTTTGTTCCAAACTCGGATCGTCCGACCGATTGTAGCCCGCCGCTTTTGTTCATCCGTCATGTTCTCATCAGCGCTGTATGTGTCCTCGAGCAACCACTCCGTCTTCATCATAGCCTTGAACGGGCCCATAACACCGACATCGAGCGGCTGACACATGCTCGTTGAGTTTGGGGGGAGCGGCTCGATCACGCTGAACATTGCCTCTGTCGTCTTGTCGTAGGAGGCCTCGGAAACGTGGCATTCCAGATTGTTCACCAGAAGAACGGAGGTGTCTTGGACATGCTGTGCAAACAAACGCTCGAGGTAGATGTTCCACACACATTCATCCATCCAAGCGTTTGCCTGCACAGCATAAACATGAGTCGGGTCGTAGGACGGCAGTTCCGTCTTCTCCAACAGCCCACCTGGCTGCCCTTTGATGATGAACAGTAGTGGGAGCTTGACGCCATCGGCCCGGACTGTCAACACCACCGAAATGCGCTCTGAGTGCTTGTTCTTCTTGTCCACCTTGGACGACTTTCCAACCTCGGCCAGCGTCTTGCCTGGCGGCATGTCAAAGTAGACTCCTACACCATACGTTGACAATGCAGAGATGACTATAGATAATCGTACCTGTTTCGTCCGCATTGTAGATGAGTGAATTGTCGTAGGCGTCGTACTTGGTCCAGAAGTTCACGGCATACCCATCCCACACGTCGTCGAGAACAACCTGCCGGACCTTGTTGTGGCATGGAACGCGGTGGGAGAATCGGTGTCGCTTACAAAAACGGCGCAGAAGGTGTCCGAGAGACTCATAGCCGGAGGCGAAGGTCTTCTTGGACTCGATGTACTAAAGAAGCCATGGTCGGTGGTTGCGTTTGATCCACAGGATGAGGTGGTACGTTGGCCACGCATATACCCCAGGAGGTCGTACTTGAAAGGGAACAATGACTTCCGCCCCTGGCCGCCCAGTGTTGCCAAGCGGCCATGGCGGCGGCTGGCCAGAATCTTCGCTTCTTTCGCTCGCCATCCTTTCCACGTACCTGGAGGGATGGCGTGCTGTTGGCTAAACTGGTTGTCGTTGAGGACGGACACATGAAACTTCTTAAGGAGCACCTTGCGCTCAGCGTTCGTGTAACGCCGCTGCTGCATGGTGGCTGGTGGTGCCTTTCGTCAAATGCCATTTTGACATGGACGTCCAAATTTCAAATTTCAAATTGAATTGGGCCAATCACAGCTGAGCATAATCTTTGCTTAATGCAGTCAATTTTATCCAATTGGATCTATTGTTACAATCCCCAAGTTTCGAAAAGATTATTTTATTCACGAGTGCTACTTTCGTCGAGTTATTCTGGCAAACACTGTACAGTACAATGCTACTACGCACTACCGGTAGTAGTACGGAAATTATGCTAAATCCCTGGGGTTAAGTTGAGGTGGTCAGAGTACAAAAAATATGCCTCATCTAACTAGTGTTTGTTAGTTTAAACAGTTTTCAGTCTTGGCTGAACGGTACGCTTATCCAGATTTCTTGAACGTTTTTCAGGGTTAGTCACGTAGTACTAGTATAGTAAAGTACTAGTTAAAGGCATGAAACGCGTGAAACCCGTCTGGTTGATTGGCAATCATTGTTAACGCGAATCAGTTTTGGAATCGATACATGGAAGCTAGCCCGTAGGTACGGTATAACGATGGAACAATGAGGCCATTAGCATGCCGTGGCGCTGTCCTGAGTCAGCTCGACAACGTACGCAATTGAGAGCTTGGTGAAATCGGCCATGTGGTTGAAATCGATGGTGGCGATCGTGTCGTTTTGGGTGTGGATGTTCGGGTTCAAGTCCTTAAAGTCGGTTTCAAACGGAAACGACCCGGGGTACCCCGTCGCGTTCCACGAGAAATGGTCCGAGCAGCCGTATTTGCACCGTGAGTGCGACACAGGGATGTCCAAGTAGGACGCGACGAGCGTCTCCAAGAAAGTGTTGAGGTTCTTGTTGGTGAAGTCGGAGATCAAATTCACGACGGGGGTCGTGCCAGGGCGGACGTAACCCGTCATGTCCTGCTGCATCTGGGCGTACACGGCTGTGTTGGCCTTCGCATACTCCGCCGCCACTGCCCTGGACCCCTTCAGTCCGACTTCTTCGGCGGCGTACCAGTGGAACTCCACGGGCCTAATGGGGGTCCACTCAGGGGTCGCCAGCAAGTACTTGAGCGACTCCAAGATGGTCACGGTGCCCGACCCGTCATCGTCGGCCCCGGGGGCGATGTTGCGCTTCACAAGGTCCCTTCGGTCTTTCTTATTGATCGAGTCTTGGTGCGAACTCAAAATGATAATGTCGTCCTTGACAACAGTAGTAGGCTCGACGCGGGCAATCACAGAGTACTGTCCCCACTCGTGCGTGAACTGTCGCACGGTGACTTTAACGTTGGTGTTGGC